GGTTCATAAAGAATTCTATTTGACTGCACCATATCGTCTACGACGTTGCTTTTTGATATCTAAAACAGTAAAATTTCGTTATGGAATAGAACTAAAAGTTACTACTCTTTAATCAACCTTACCTCTTTCGATCGGAATTGTTGAGGAGCAGACAAATTGTATCCATCATTATTTCCAAGGTGATTGTAGCTGACGATCGATACTGGTTTGATACCCGCAGACACTAAGAAGTCCACGAGCACTGATTTCAATTTCGTTTGTCCAGATTTAAAGTCATCACCGCCGATGAACGTTTTGTATTTCTCTGCTAACTCAATTGCCCCTGGTACGAACGTATTTTGAGGGGAACCATTTAGATATGTACACTAGAACGACCAAACATTGTAACGTTCGTAAAAATGCTGTTTGAGAAAGCGAAAATTGAATTCTGCTTACTCCTTCCAAAGCTGCTGCAACAGCGAACATTGTACTCGGGCTAACTTCCGAGTGACCATTTTTGATAGCGTTCAACAAATTTTCCGCCGTATCGTTCACGCCCGGAATTATTTCTGCGAATCGTTCTGTATTGGCAGTCCACAATATAATCACTTGATCCAAATTCTTCGAAGCCTTAAATTCAGCAATGTCTTTTCTAATCTGTTCCAATTGCTCGAATTTCGAACCAAGAATAAGATTATTGGCTCTATTCTCCTACATGTACAGAAATGTATATAATTTCGGATAAAACAGGGTACTAGAAAGAATGTAATACAACGAGTATTTACTTGATTAGCAGCAATGAAGTCAGGACAGTATATGCTCTTCCTTGGCTTCATATGAACCATGTGTTCTATTAATTGTTTCTGTAAATTAATGTCCAGCACTTTTGCACGTTGCATAGCATCAGCTAGGTTCAGGTTCGAAATGTCCCATCCATCGATAACGATGTCATTTGGATCGACCATTGGAAGCATCCAAGACATTGGAACGTACACATCTTCTTTATCTTTATTGCCTAATCTGACAGTGGACGCTTGGATCAAGGATCCATACCTAAAATTCAAATGAATAGCTTATGAAGACAAGATGTCCATTCATTTATGAATAGATACGATTTACGTATCTGCTGAATAGAAATATTACTATTATTATCGTAATTACCAATTTGCTTTTTGAGTGCCATTCTTTGTTTCCCATGATAGCTTAAGTTTATTCGCTATTAACGCCGCTGTGATAGTCGACCCATTATTCCCACCCCATCCTACCAACATCAATCCAAGTTTTGGAACTTTCAGCTGAGTTCTAATTAATAATTTCGTCGTTACAGGTGTCACCTATTATTTGTAATAATAACAGACATTTACATTCTGAATACATTCGATTGGAACTGTTTAAAACAAATAATATTACACGTAATAATTGTTAGTATTTGTATCCAAAGTATTTTTTCTGCTAGTACACAGTGGTGTACAATACATATATCGTGGAATAGGTTTTTATTTTAAGACATACGAAAAATTCATTTCCAAAATTAAAATTCATATCGTTAGGAGCAGCTCATTTTTTTTATTCTATTATACTTTACGTCCTTTCCCCTAAAAAAGAATTTTTATATGTATACAAAATCTTAAGGATTTATATCGTTTTATACGATTTTTCTAAAAAAATCCTTCCAACCTTAAACGGATTGCATCAAATTATAGTAATTATCAGCGCCGTTTCCTAATGAACAAAATTTTTTAAGTAAATATAGTTTACAATTCTCTTGTCTACTAAACAACTCTGCATACACGTGTACATATGTACAATTGTTTATACTATATTTGTTATATTGTTATTAATATTGTTATATTATAGTCTCCGACTCATGCGTATAATCGTAAAATGTGAAACGAAGAAAATTCAAACTATCTCTGTAAACGATGTTCCTTAAAAAATCTAATTTCATTTTTAGTAACGAGCAAACGAAGCTTCTTTTCGAATTTCTCTATTTATCAACTACTAAAATACGAGAAAAATGTGAGTATGTCTGAAATAAAATCGTCTCCTTATATACGTCGGATAGTTTTCAAACATTTGATACCATGCAGGAATGAATTTGTGTAATCTAAGCAAAAATTCTTGCAAAGGGAAAGAACAAGTGTGAAGCGACTACCTGTCATATTTTTTTATTTTTTTTTTTCTACTCGAAGGTAAAAAGAGTAATAACATACGGAGTTAGTAGGGTGCCGCTTCGATGTTTAAGTCACAACAAACGTGGGAATCATTTTTCTCTGCAAATAATTGAAAGAAAAAAAAGATTTCGATGCACTTACCAGATATTTATCGTTGACTTCTGTAACGTTCGTTGTGTCATAATCATACTGCGCTTCAATGTAATCTTCCGTGTACTTCACCTTCGGTGACTGAACTGAGATCTTCAAAGCCATTGTCTTATTGAAATCGCACAGTAACGTGTAAAGTTCTAACGTTCCCTCGGGAATGTAAGTATATATATAGAGTTCAAGGATTTATAGATTGATAACTTCAGTCGATCGCAATTGTAAGTAAATTTCAAAATAAATGTGATAACAAGCTTAGTAGCGATGCAATTTCAGTTTCCGTTTGAATCACCGCGAAATAATAAAAACGTGGAGAAATTCGCGAATGATATATGAACACACGGAGGCAAATATCCAAAACGACGTGTTCGTAGCTGAAACGTAAATGTCGGGAGGACACTGAAGCATGCGCTTTAAAAGAAACGCCGCGGCACCCCCCTTCCACCCCTGTTTAACTGGAACCCATTATATTTGGTTATTGCTCAGGACTTTATCAACCTAGCTGACGTAAGCTAAATATTACAGCTTCTTGCCCGTCCTTTTTTCCCTTACTTCCTTTCATTTCACCTCAGTTTCAGCATTAATTCTTATCGAAATAATTATGGAAATAAACCGAATCATTCAAAACACGTGGCGCGTACCACGTGCCTTCTTCCTTCGAGACTTTCTTTTCCTTCTGTTTCAATTAGGAATCTTGTTTAATCTTCACTTAAGTTTACATAGTTATCACGTTTTATCTACATTCCTTCTCCTCTCAGAATTTTTTAACGTTTCTGAAAAGATCCTTGAAACTCTGTTCTAATTGCATTGCTTTTTCTAATTTGTCTGGCATCTGTAATTTGTATAAAATGTATATAAAAAATTCAATAAACATTCTCGTAGTATGATATTTATTGATTGAATAATTGATAAAAGATGATACGCTGTGCAAACGTTTGGATATTCATAAACGTCCAATACACATTTAGAGAACGTTTCAATACGTTTCGTGGTTTAAATCACGATGGTTAACCGGTCTGTGAACCGCTCAATTACATCACGTGTAGCTGGAATGCATAGATTGTTTCAATCAATTGTCACTCTGTCGGACGCATCTGGAACTTTCGTATGTAATGGGAGAATTGAATTACGTTGCCAGGCCGTTCGTAAGACGACCCTCGACGGACGATTATGAACAGTAATCTGTTTACAAAGGCTGATTTTATCCGAATCAACGTTTTATGCGACCCGTTTCGCTTTCATCCGGAGAAATGGGCATTATATTAACTGCGCATACAGATAATCCTGCCTCGAGCACAGTTGTATCCTTAGTCAAATAATTTTAATTATCTGGGCATCCGTTTTTCTTCGATACCGTAAACGTCGGGTATCGAGAAGTATTCCGAATCGATACTTCTGGAATATGATACCGATAACAATCAACTCTCTGCGAATATTATCACTCGGGTTACTCATGGATACCTCGGCAACAGGCTACTATATTTATATTATGAAGATTTTTAAATGCATGTACTTAACTTACTGTATAAATGATTTTTGATAAAGCTAAAATAGATAGAAGCAGAATTATATAAGAATAGAACATTGAAATGTTTATTATAGTACATTATATTACATATACTACGTGCATATTTTCGGCAGATGTTACGAATTTGCAAATGCCAGAATTTATTCGTTTAATAGATTTGACTAACTACGAATACACATCAACGTTAGCAAAACGTTGATGATATCCCGTGTACATCACTGTACATACGAACTACAATAATGGTCTGCGTCTATTGTTATTTTTAATACAGATTTTATATGATACTCTTCACTTTAACCGAAATTTGAAAATCAACTACAAGTTGCAGCTGTGCAAATCTTAAATTTATCGATAGAACTCAATCAATGATTCAGTCCGTTGTTCGCGAAGGGTAATAAGTTGGACTCTGTCCAATAACTTCAATACATATTTAAACTAAATAATTGAAGCGGAATTGGAACCGGTGGGAGCGTAGATCAAATACGCGCCAACACAACAACCATATCCCATATGTATATAACGCGTTAAATTACCAACTGGTCACTTCTGGTTTTACTTATCTTTATGGAATTGATATATTTTTTAAAACGAAAGATTCCGCAACCTTTGATTCATTTGAGTGAGTTAGCCGGTAACTGCGTATGTGTGTTCCTGTAGAATCTCATTTTGTAAATGCATAGGTTAATGAATTTTTATAATCGTCAGATACTAAGTATGGGAGATGCCAAATACACGGGGGCAAAATGGATATGACATTGAAGTAAAAGTAAGTTTGGCTATGATGCAAAGAAATATAATTACCACTCTCGCTCGTTAGATATGTTCATATACTACAAAAATTGTCGTAGCTATATATATATATATATATAGTAATTGAGTTAACATGACGACCTGTATGAGAAGTTCTCGGGCATGCGTAGATCGTTCACTTTTAAGGTATTTAACGTTCAGTATTTTGTTACTAAAGAAAAGATATCGCTAAGAAGAGTATAAATAATGTGCCAAGTAGATACACTTTTCTTCAAATATATATCGGAAAATTGAAGCAATAAACTCTGTCAACAATTAAACTACATTTTTTAGACGTAATAAGATAACAGTCTTATTCTCTTGCGTTGTTTTTAGCTTGCAAAAGTCTTAGAAATCGTGTTAAGAATCGAGTAGGAATAATTATGTCTGTGGTAAATAAATAATTTGTCTATTTTTATATATGAATTCATGAAAATCAGGCTTAGTACAGCTACGTGTGTAAGTGAAGAAAAGTCGAGGTCGAGAGTCTCGACGCGAGAGTGAGCGTGTACGAAGGATACAGGACGTGTGTGTAAAAGTTAGGCAGCTAGCTGCGATATCAAGAGAATAGTTTCGTCATAATAAGTGAAGGATTGGTTTCTAATTATTTTATATTAAATACAGTTATCATTTCGGTATCGTTTAAATTAATGAAGGTTTATTTGATTGCCCGAACACGTGCTCTCGCGGCTACCTGCATCTTTTTCATTGATAGTATATACAAAAGGAAAATGAAATACTGGTCGACTTCATCGTGATCAGTTTTCATTCATTTTATTCATCTAAATTCTAACAGAAATATATAGTAATTTGCCAATGTTACGTGAGTGAAGTCGCAGATTCAACGTGGCGGCCCAAGCGGGAACGCAATACATGTATATTTGATCAATTTGATACATTCGCTGTACCACAGACATAGGAATAATTCGTATGTCTATGTTCGCTACCAATAAGGAGCGGGTCGTGCGCGGTGATACGTTAAACGTCAAAGATTTCATTGGCTCGAGAAATCCTCGGCACGCGTTCGGGCCAGTATATTATTAAAAAATTATTAGACATATCTAAACTTTTATTTCTATCGAAGTTCGGGATTGATGTGCAATCTATGTAGTTGTGAGCATTCAATGATGCTCAATTTGCCTACAGCCCACCAGTTAAATGTTCAGTGCGATTCGATTGCTGTCAATGTTAAGACCCGTGCCGTGAAGTAGGTAGTCGCCATCTTTGCGACCGTGTCGCATCCCTCGATCCCGATCTGGCCCATCATATGTTCCGCGCAACCTTTATGTAGTGATCGAAGAAAAAAAAATCGTCGAACGTTGGTTGCCCGTCGAAAGGATTAAGCTCTCGAACGGATTTGCGCTCGGGGCCCGTGCTGTGAGTGTAGGACAGCGGTGCAGGCGAAAGTGGGTGGAACGCATGGGGTTTACGTTATCCTGGGCCTCGTTACAGTACGCGATAAGGGAGATTTCGGCAATTGACAAGTGACGCAAAGAGAGTTCGTGTTTGACTATCACCGCGGTGACATTAGATTTAGTATCGTTAAGTCGAGTTCCTTTCGGCAGCCCGTTTATTATATACCGGCGTTGATATACCCGTTGTAGTGTGTGCTCCTCTGAAAATCATTTGGCGGAAGAAAAAATGAGCTGTCAACGCAACGCTGGTAAGATCACAGTGCCGGACGAGTTGCGGGACGTACTGTTGGAGTTCACGATCAGTTATCTGTTGGAGCAACCGGTGGACATTATCGACTACGCTGTGAATTTCTTCACGCAACTCCGGGAAAGCCGTAAAACACAGTTGATTCAAGCCCCTGCGCATACCCCCTCTTCAACACCGGAGGAGTCCGTCGACGAAGGTAAGCTAGATATTTTCATTCGAGATGCGACTTCCAATCGCATCGAGTATTCCTAACGAGGTTCTGCGACGTACCTGAGCGCGTGTTTTATATCGTTTCGATTTCGAAATCCGATCCGTGTTCTCCGCGCGCGTACTTAAGCGTTTGAACATTCGCCTGGTGTTTAGTTGCATCGACCAAGGAGTTTGAAAAAAAAACTCATTCACGAAATGTGCACGACGATGGAAACAGGTACGACTTTTCCCGCTCTCTATCATCTGCTTAAAATTAAAAATTTTCTTCATTTCGTTCGTCTTTAAATGAACCGTACCTGCGTCGCAAACAGATGAAACAGTTATTTAAAATATCAAATTTGTTTCACATTTTACAGAGCCACCGGTTGGGAGGTTCGCGACAAGGCGGAAGAGTATTTTCGCGGAAACATACAATCCCGAGGAAGATGAGGAAGACGATGGAATTAAGGTGCGTTTTCTCCTTCCCAATCTCTTCTAATTATCTTCAGCGGTATTTCGTTTCACCGCCCTCTACTCTGTTCCCATGTAAATTTAGTCTTACGTAGGATGGAGTAAATTATCTCGAGAGAAAATTATGTAGGATACATACGGGCTTGGAAACTGGCTGTTAATCACGTTCCAATAGGAATCACTTTACGAAGCAAATGTTTTGAGTCGACACTTGTTTCCCGGTTGTTAAACTGGGACTTAAGCTCGTGCCTTAGAATAACTTAAGACTCTGAATACCGTCTGTTGGGTCGGGATGATCGATTGATATTTCACAGACGATATGATTGGATCGAACGCGATGCGGAGAACGACTCGCTATATAAGTGCCGTTACTCTGAGTTAGATCCAGTCGAAGGGACCAAAAAGTAAACCCTTTATTCCGGTAGATTGGAACGCGACGAGGATAGGGTTAACGTGTGATTCACGTAGACGGAGGTACATATACACCGACACGTGCGTCGTGTATATAAAATCTAAATATGGATGTTTTATGGCTTGTTCGAATAACAACACGGGCCCTCCGATCGGCTTCGGAAGACGCGGCCCGGCGAGACCGTCCGGAAAGCGTTTCGCCGATCTAAGCACGCGTTCTATGTGCAACGCGCGCGCGAGACGCACAATTTATAGAAAGCTACCGTGTCTTTATTTTTTCTTTTTATCGAGACACCCAGCGTATTCAGGCTGCGCGGGTGACGAAACGGGATGATTTACTTTGCTCGGCGATGCGAGCGATGTACCTTTGTGACGTCAGAGCGCGTGTTCGATAACCCGCTACCGACGTGACTTACATATGCACGATGTACGTGTACGTACACGTACAGGTGAGCGTGTTCGTGAATGAGAAAGAGGGAGAGAGAGAGAGAGAGAGAGTACGGAACGCACCAGTAAACTTTCGCCGGGACCGTAATGGTGGAAAGCATTTCAAAAGGCGCTGTTGATCTTAATTATCGGCTAACTTGAACTGTTAAAACCCGAGTGGAAGAGCTTTTTGTAATATTTCTATATAGCGATTAAATCGAATTATCTATTTATCTCGTCGCGAGAGAATGAAAAAATTGTTTCATAGGGTGAATAAGACCTGGAGGTTCTCCGTGAATCGCTTATATTGGATCCGATCAAGGCTATCGATATTTTCTCAGGCGTGACCACGTGTCTTTTTTTATATAGATGCATATGTGTTTTATTGTTGAGCCTATTTGATTAAAGCAAGGCGAATCGATCGGCTCTCGTGTGAGGAGAGCTGATACGATATGCTCGAAGTAATTGGAGGGGTCATCTTTTCGAAATCGCTTGATCGTCTAGTAAACTGTTCCAGGTTTTACAAGTTTTTACGTCACTCGTGAATCACGCTACACAATTGCATGCACGTGTGCCCGGCGAATCTTTTTCTAAACGTTCCAGAAATATCATCTGTTAGCGTGTCACACACACGTCATTCATTTTCAATCACTGTCAAATCTGTCCTAATGCCACCTACCAAAAATTGGCAGTCAAACTTTCCGGGCACTCAATATCTTTTATGTATTCCTCCTCCTGCTTAAGCTGCAGTTTAAAATGTGATCAAACGCGAAATTTAAATAGATCCACTTTTCTCTCTCAAGGGTCTGGCATGATTATATCTACTTATAGCTCTCTTATTGCTGAACTTGCTAAAATTCCGGTGTCAGTTCCGTCAGAATGGTCACGCACATACAGTTTGTAACGCGAGAGTCTGGACGTGATATCTCCGAAAGTTGATACCTAATAAATAGGAGATTGTGATAATCTGAACGGTCATACAGTCTTCCGCAATTCGTACATAGAGGGAAATACAGCTTAGTGACCTTGATCATTCTAAAACAGAATGATTCCCAAGTATCCTGCCCAATAGACCATCTAACTTTAACATCAAAGTAGATAATTAGGTGCACTCCGTTTCTGGTGCACTGGTCAGCGTCATATGACGTTGAATGTATTATACATCCCTCCTAAACGTAGCTACAACGAAGCCTCCTAATGAAAATGAAGTCGTTTGATCCGATATTAAAAAAGTTATTCTATTTTGAAGTCTGTCTGAATATTAATGGGAGTCACTGCAGGTAAACTACTCTGTGTATGTATATTTGTTAAATGATCAACGATCCTACAGCAAAATCACTATTTTCACAGAAATTTGCAATATCTTCCGTCGCCGCTTTCAACAAAATAAATTAGATGATGCCACCTCCGCCACGTCAACGTTCCCAATTTCCTATTTCGCTTTGTACAAAAGTTTTCGCCGTTATTGCAAAACTGGATTATACCGCGGGAGTAACATATCAATGAGAATGTTAATTAAGCCTGTTTGAAACGTCATTAGGCATTATCGCGAGATTAGGATGCAGATGAGCCGATGTTCAGGTTCCCGCGAAACGCGAGTTCTCTAGGTCAGTCAGAAATGTCGAACCTTCTATTGGCAACAGATGTTAGATCTGGTCCAAAGATTGTAACGCGATATCGGTTACGGACCAACGACTTAAAAAACTATGACGGAAACACACTGGTAGATCAGCTGTCCTCAGAACTGGTCGGAGTCGACGAACATGAAACGAAGTCGATATACAGGGACCCTCATTGAACGTAGATTTGTCTATCCCCGCGTTGGGATACGAAAAAGACATCTTCTCTCTTTGCGATTCCACGACGGGTTCTGGAATGAATAGGTGAATGGATTGATTATTATGTATGCGAGAGCTCCTCGGGTACTTGATAAATATTTTTCAACGCTACCGGTATTGACCGTTGGTAAACCAAACGTAAGATCGCAAAGGAGTTCGATTTTTCTTCCTTTTTTTTTAAACTTACCGTGGTGTGTAATCTACCCACGCGTATCTAATGGGAAACCCTTTCTTTTTATAACGGGCATGGTATATTATTCAAGCCTGACATTATCGATCGGTCACGCTGCAATTAATTTATAATATCGATGCGTGTCGTGCAATGATCGTAATTCCTTAACCGTTAACAAAATACGGGGCAGGTAACGCACGAATGTTCAATAAATTCTATACGTACACCTTGTTCAATAATGATAGCTTAACCTATAAAACGTATAAAATTAAAAGAATTCCATAAGCCTAGTCAAAATGTGTTGACGAACAAAGCATTGAAAAAAAAAAATTTGTCACTAATTGGTTTTGCAGATGGTCCATCCGAAGAGCGACGAGCAGAGGCAGAGGCTCGGCGACAGCGTGAAGCATATTTTTATGTTTCGGGCTCTGGACGAGGTAAGTTAAACATAGTACCACGTACATTCTCTGGGCGGTGAGCGTAATTGAAACGGGAATACGGAGCGACCGAGACGGCGAGGGTTCGCGCCAACTCCGTTCGTGGAAATGCCAATGAGTATATACATGCAGTCCGCTCAACCGGGAATTAGACTCTCAGGGATGAATTACTTTAGAGAGAGAAAAAAGAGCCAAGTGGTTTCACCGGAGCGCGCACAAGTACACGATGATTAAGTGAAATCGTGTCGCCCGCGTCTCCTCTTTCTCGTACTTTTAATTTTACTTTACGTATACTTCATTAGTAATCGCCTGGGGTGCGATCGGTAGATCAACTGGGACGCCACAAGTATGCCGCATATACCATTTTCGTTCCATCTACATCCACGCGACTTGAAATTTCACGGCAATTATATCGTCGCCGTTCTCCAACGTCAGGAAACATTGTTCCTCCGGTTCTGGTCATGAAATATTCACGACACGCGTGTTATTGTCGTGCACATGCACGTACGCACGCACGCGTGCACACACAGACACATGGATTTGTTGCAGGAACAAATGGCTGACGTGCTGGACGCGATGTTCGAGAAGAGCGTGCAACCCGGGGAATTTATTATCCGACAACGTGATGACGGTGACAATTTCTACGTCATCGAGAAGTAAGATTCCTTTTCAGCCGGTTTTATCGCTAAACTTCGGAGAATAACCGAATTCGATCACGGAGCACATGTATACATTTTCCCATGTCCTTTCAGAGGAAAGTTCGAAGTGTACGTGAAGGATCAATCAGGCGTGGAGTCCTTGATACACACGTACGATAATCGCGGTTTCTTTGGCGAGCTCGCGTTACTCTACAATATGCCCAGAGCGGCCAGTGTCAAGGCCATCACGAACGGAACGCTGTGGGCCATGGACAGGCAAACTTTCCGGCGTATTCTGCTCAAGTCCGCCTACAAGAAACGTAAGATGTACGAGGACCTTATCGACAAGGTCCCGATGCTGAAACATCTCGAAGTAAGTCTTATGGGAGAGTGCCGTAGGCTGCGGTTTAAGCTAAACTTTAAAACTCTTGATTCTCTCTGATAAGAACGTAGAATCGAACGGTGTAAACCCATATTTTTAATCAATTTCGTGGGTAGCATTGACATTCGTTATCGCTTCGCTACCGGAGTCTACACTTTTGAGGCTTCTGCTATCTCGCGAATAATGGGTTTTCATTAACTAGGATTCTTGATACGATCCGTATCTGCGCTGGATGGCCGCCAAATTAAAATCTTCTAAACTAATTGTGTACAGTCTGAACAAGTCTCATGTGTATTTTTTAAAACTTGCATTTTCGTCGTCTTTTTGATGACTACTGTGTATAAATTCTCGTTGAAGGAAACGGTTAGTCGATATTTCCGAACACACCGTTTGATTGATAGTAACAGCTGATCGCTCGCAATCTCATCTCCGATGTATTATTGAATTTGGATGGAATGCAAACCGTACCGATTGCCAAGAAATGTTTGGCTATAGCTAATTGCATTTATTTTGTAGCTCATTATTTCGTAACGAGCTAATTCACAGTAACCCTCATTCTAATTTTCATTTCTAACATCAAAAGACAAAATATGTTGTTTGGCCGGATATCAATTATTCTTCGTTCTGAACCGTGTCCAAATATTAATGAGGATCAATTTCGGTGATTAAAGATGCGGAACGATAGGCTCGGTAGAAATTAATCTTAATGCCCCAATTCGATTAATAGTAATTCCTGAAATTCGTCATGTTCAGCCATATGAACGGATGAATCTGGCGGATGCGCTGGCACCAAAGCAGTACGCGGACGGTGAGCAAATCATCAGGCAGGGCGACTCGGCTGACGGAATGTACTTCGTCGAGGACGGCGTGATCAAGATCACTAGAATCGGAGACCAGGGTCGCGAGATCGAGGTACCACTTGACTTATTGCTTTTCATTTTCCGACGTGAAGCATAATATAATTGCCGACCCAGATAGTGCGGTACGGTGTGCGAGACCAAATATAGCTGTCCAGGAAACTAGTGCACTAATTAGATCGTCAATTGTACAGATGTCATTTGGTACTCTGTTTAATGCTGCAGATTAATAGAGTTCCCGCCGGTGGGTACATAGGCGAGTTGGCGCTGGTGACACATAAACCTCGTGCTGCTTCGGCCTACGCCGTGGGCGATGTAAAGCTGGCCTGTAAGTTTCTCTCCATTAACAAACACGTTTCTATTAAGCCAGCTTTGTTCATTGGCACTCGTTCATTATTTTGTTGATCTCTATTCGGGTGTGGATCATCGATGTCGAATACTGTACGTCGTCAGTAAATACGTACATCTCTTCTTTTCTGACACGATCTTTTTCAGTCCTGGACGTTGAAGCTTTCGAACGCTTGCTCGGGCCTTGTATGGAGCTTATGAAGCGTAACATCGACGATTACGAGGATCAGCTAGTCAAAATTTTTGGTAGCAAGGCTAACATTACCGATATCCGATGAACTGTTCATTGGGAGTGATACGTTGCACTGCTGTACTAAAGACGCGACACTTTCGTACAGTAATGTAAAATTGAGCACAAACTTGTACTACCCACTTTAATGAATCTCATCCGCGTGTTTTCAAATAATCATCTCGAGTCAACTTTCGTAAAATGACTGTTCACTTAGACACCGTCTACCGTTAAGAATCGTCGTTAATAGTTACCAAGTTTGTACCTATGACACACACACACACTGATGGGACAACAAAGTATAAAGCAAGGAACGAAGTGGAGACAACAAAATCTATAATTTTGAGTGGTTCATACTAAAACGAGCTCCTTTAAGACTGTGTCGGATCAACAACAAATATTACCCTATCTTGTCGTGTGTGCTCGCAAATTATCGGAAGATCGAAGTTCGAAGAATGAAAGTAAGATTTTTCATTTAATCGTACATAAAAAAAAGGAAAAGAAATATGTACTCGGGGTGATGCAACATATCGGCAGACAGACACAATTCTCAGATTGGTGTAACTTTTATGCTGTTCTTTTTCTTTACACTCGACACTTTGAGATATATATTTCACTTTTAATTGATAATTTCAAAGATCAATAAATTCAATTATTTCGTACATGTCGGTGATCGTTTCCGATTCATTGAAGGGGATTCTCAAGGTATCTGCGGTATGCTTCTTCGTGAAATAGAAGAAAATATTTCGTCAATTTTCAGTTACGACGGCGCGTTTAATCTAAGATTCGCCTTTAGGCACATTCGATGAAATTCCGCATTGTCAATGTGTTTCTCCAATTATAACAATTAAGACAGTGGTAGGATCGTAGTTTAAACGCTACGATGGAAGGGATAGAGCACAACAGGCAAGTTAGAGCAATTACACTAGTACCTATACAACTTCTAAGACAGCAATTATTTTCTATAAAAACGAGTGGCATTTAATTTCGTCTGGGGGAAGGGGTGGTACAGGAACGGTAAAGGGAATAACGTTTCACTCTTTGAGATATTTCATTTAACAATGCCTGTATAGAAGACATATCCTTATACAAACGAGGACGGTTTTCCTAATTCCCATGTTCCTAATTTTATGGTTTGCTCTTTGCATTAACGAGAGAAAGTATTACGAGATATATATATACATAATTCGCGTAGCGCACAATGTGTCGTTTATTTCATTGTTTATTATATACACATGTGTATATAGGTATATATGTACGGACAACAAAGAGAATGCGTTTTAATCATTATTTAATATTCTAGCCTACATTATTTACATTTGTTATCGGTCGCGAACACGTTTGTTACGAACTTCGAATAGAACAACTACTTCTA